CAACAATACAAGCAACGCAACCAGGTTTGTACCCTTCACATCTGACACAGCAGCCAAACATCATGGTTAATTTTTCGTATGACAATTTTGAAGAAAAACTCAATAGCAAAAAGTCGACAGCAGGGGGGGTAGACAAAATCACCTTTAGCACTCTCAGACATCTACCTAGGGAATCCAAAGAAAAACTGCTAAAGGCCTTGGAATCAAGTTACCATAACAACGAAGTCATTGAGTCGTGGAGGCGAATCATAATTGTTCCTATTCCCAAAGCAAATAAAGAATTGGATGACTTAAACAACTTTAGGCCAATATCATTGATCTCAGTTGTTGCGAAGAGCCTCAATATGCTCATCAAAGATGCCCTGGTAGAAGAAGTAGAGTTGCGAAATATAATCCCACAAAAAAGCTTTGCGTACAGAAAACAAAGATCGTCATCAATGTGCTTAAACGAAACCCTGCATTTTGTAGCTGACAAAAAGAGTAACAACGAAAAAGTTTTTATTTGCTTCCTAGATATAACTGACGCATACAACGGGGTCGACCTCGAAATCTTACACCGCACGCTGTTGGAATATAACATAAACCCAAAAATTGCTAATTGGACGAAAAACTTCTTCTCCTCGAGAATACTGACTCTAGGGCCACATGCGGTGGAAGTCAATAATGGACTCCCTCAAGGTAGCTGTTTGTCACCAATACTTTTCAATATTTACACGGCCAAGCTTCACTGTATAAACGATAGCAAAACGCAAGTTTTTCAATTTGCAGATGACATAGCAATAATTTCGCACTGCAAGTCGGAAAAAGCTGCAATCCTCAATTTGAAAACCCAAATTATGAACATCCATGGGATCTGCAACTCTATAAACCTGAATTTCAACTTGGAAAAAACGAAATTCATGTACCTTTCTGCAGGGAACAAAAGAAACTTTGAACTAACAATCAGTGGTAACCAAATTGAGCAGGTAGTCACAACAAAATGGCTGGGCAGAATTATTAACTCGAACTCGACAATCAAAGGGCAAGTTGGAAAGGTCGAAGACGAAATAACAACAGGTAAAAATTTACTTGCAAAACTGACTACAATAAAAGCAGGGTTAACACCCAGAATAGGGCTCAACCTATTCAAAGTATTCGTAAGATCCAAGATGGAATACAGCAACACCAGCTATGCCAATGCTCCGAACTGCTACTACAAAAAACTACAAACAATAGCAAATGAATCCCTGCGTAGATGCTTAGGAGTTCCCCCTAACACACCAACCCTAGCTCGATATGCCATAGCATGCGAGCTGCCACCGCTAGCAAGAGCAGTTTGGTTAACTTCAAAAGAGCTGACCAAGCAATGGTTTCTCAATCCAGATTTAAGAACACAACCAAAAAATAGTAGACCGGTCAAATCAAGCTACAGCCACACCTTTGAGAAATTTAAGGACATTTTCAATCAAATTAACACAAACACTACTTTCATCAGACACCCTAATCTCAAATTAATAGACTCAAATCTTAACAAGTCCAAAAACAATGTGGCGCATGAACAACTACAAGCTATCTTTAGAGAACAACAAGCATACTATCTTGATCAGGGTTTTCACATATTAGCGACTGATGCCTCCGTGAGTGAAAATATAGTTGGTTGTGCTGTATACGACACAGCAAATAACGTCTCCTACTTATACAACATACCCTTTTACCGGTCGACGACGTTTGGGGAATTAGTAGGACTGTTACAGGCGGTCAAACTTGCTAAAAAATATAAGTGGAATAAACCATGCATTTTTACAGACAGCTTGGCTGCTGTAAAACTGTTAAAATGACCGTTAACCCAGAACCATATAGTGGCCGAAATCCACAATCAAATTGCCAATTCACAAGTAGAAACTGCAGTCATCATGTGGGTACCCAGCCACGTTGGCGTAGCATGTAATGAAAAAGCTGACATTGCAGCTAAAACTGCAGTGAATCACGGCCAGACGCTTTCGATTGACTTAACGCCACAAGAGGCACTTATACAAATCAATACTCTACTATGGACAGAGACTAAGGACAAGATAAAGGAAAAATGTGTAGACTGGGACCATAATATCATCAATAGTTTTGCGATAAAGGAAAGACGACCTTGGTTTAAGGACAAGAGATTTGACTTAGAGCCTTATGACATGAAGCTCCTCAACAGACTAATTACCGGACACACATACAACAGCATCTATTTACAACAATTTGTACCAAACGTTAGTGAATACTGCAACACTTGCAATACGCTGGAAACTCCTGATCATCAAATCTTCCACTGTGATAGGTACAACGCTATGAGAACGAAGTTTAAACTCTTTGACACGTACAAGACCATAAATGAAATTATCACCACTAAAAAACCTGAGCTTTTTAAAGAGCTAATAAACTTTTTGCGAGAAACCAAACTAGATGGAGCACTCTAGGCCATACAACAGTTTAATCAAAAAAAAAAAAAAAAAAAAAAAAAAAAAAAAAAAAAAAAAAAAAAAAAAATAAAAAAAAATTTTAAAAAAAAAAAAAAAAAAAGCAAAAAAAAAAAAAACATAGAGACCGGAAAAAAAGGGGGGAAAAAAAAAAGAATCGCCAAACAACTTAATCGCTCAATTTAAAGACAAGAAAACTAAAAACTTTGTTAACCTTATATAAGACTGATCAAGGCGTAAAGGACGTAAATAATCCTTCGCTTTTATGTTCATTCCAAAGACAGATGCCTAATTTCTATTACTTTTCGGAGTATAGATTTATAAATAAAAAAAAAAATAAATAAATTTGATGTATAACTTTCTAAAGTACCGGAACAATAAACACCTTTTATATGTCAATAACGTTAAAAAAGGGAAAAAAAAAAAATAATAATAATAATTGTAAACTCATCGGACCGATCAATATGTTATATTAATATATAATCGGTTCTTTTTTAAAAAGACAAGCCACGGGCTCCGACTTACGTGTAAACTATGCTACATGTCGATGTACAAATGTAAATAAATAAAAGGAAAAAAAAATTGTATGTTCAATGCATATCTGTTTGCATTAGAGAAACTGTATGTTCAATGTAATCGTTTTGTCTTTGTATCTGTTTTGTGTATCTTCTTTTTGTCAAAGCACACCAACACCTCCACCCATATTCGGCACAGTAAGGAGCATCAAAGGAAGAACCTCTGAGATAGCGGGAGACTTCAAGAATCAACGGATTACCTCAATACTCTTGTATAACCTGGCATATACATTACAGTATTACTGCCAACAATCTTGGACTACAGGGTCCATAAAGCCACGAAAAAAAAAAACCAAAGAGGTTTCAGAAAGTAGTTTGAAAATATTTTGAAGAGGACTGCCACCTGCTAGAAATGTCGAATTTAGTTTACACAAGTTATACGAAATATCAAAATATATATATAAAACGAAGGAGTGTTAAGAAATCTTTAGTTAGAACTCTAAGAATATTTCTGAGGTGTTGGAAGAGGTTCGCCACCTGTTTAAAAAGTTAAATTCAAAATATTTTAAAAGTTAAATAATTTATTGAAATATGTGTATCAATCGAAGAGAGTTTGAAAATTTTTTATTTCTGAACTGTATTTAGCGGGCTTGCCACATGGTTGAAAATTAAAAGTCCACTTAATTCATCAGTTAATTAAAATCATGCCTATTACGATATCCAACGGATGCCATCCGCACGGATCTAATATGATTCTCACTGTCATAACAAGCGAGAGTGAAGTATTACATTCGTGCGAATGGCATCCGTCGGATACCGTAATAGGCATTAATATGTATCGCAGTGTCCGGCGAAGGGGAGCTAACAATGATTTAGCTTGAGTACCTGTTTGAAAGTTCCAACTCAATTAACTAATTCAAAAAGTATATGAAATATAAAGATACCGTGGTCAAACGAAAGACTGTTATGAAATCTTAAGTTTGAAAATTTCAAGAGAGTTGCCACGTGTTTAAAAAGTGAAATTCAAATTATTCAGTACATAGGATGAATTATTAAAAGATGGGTATAAATCGAAATGAGTTTGAAAGTGATTTATCCCTGACCTTTATTTAGGAGGGATGCCATTTGTTCGAACAATCAAATTCGAATTAGTTCATCAGTTTAAGATTTAAGAAGATTCTAGTTTGAGAATAATTTTGAAAAGGAATTTCAAAAAAGGTCAAATTAGAAATCTTAGCCCGTAGATGTATGATAAAGTTTTAGTTTTTTAATTAAGAACTTTTTTCATCGGTAGAGCGTGATTTGAAATTCGATGAAAAATACATGCATTATGGGAGACTGCTGTTCACTCAGAAACGGCTGGACGGTTTTGATGAAATATGGCACTTGGATCTCTTATAACTCTGGCTAACATTTGGAATATATTTTAGGTTTTTGAAATTCAAATTAGGGCGTTTTTATGCCGAGCTTCTCCTACGATTGGTGTCGTGCGCGTTGATGTCACACAATTGTATTTTTATGAGAAGCTGTTTTTCATGGCAGAACTCATATTCGTATTGAAATAAACGTCCCGAGAGACGAAAAAATAAAAATCCCTTGTAATTATTATGAGTAGACGTAAATAATTTTCGGCTTGAAATAAACGTCCCGCGAGACGAAAAAAAAAAAATAAAAGTCCCATATAATTATTATGATTATTGTTCAGTAATAATTGTAGAGCAATATTTAATTTTATTTCTTATAATCGTTATGGTCTCTGATTAATCTGCATCTTAGTGGTTGCTATCTAATGTCTAAAAGAAATTTAAATTGCTGTATATTTATTTTCTAAGGTTTCCACCGGCAATTCCCGCTGTTATTATTTTCATTGAAGAATTACTTACGCACGTACACTGCCTTTCAATTATAATCTAATCCACTGCACATACCTACATACATAAATATGTTTGTATGTACCTATGTATATAGTTTTTTTATTATACGATTTATTCGTCTAGTCTTTAATTGATTGTGTTTTATATGATTTCTGTTTTATTATTTCCAGACTATGATCCCAAAGTGGTCGAACAGAAAGAGCAGGCGCAGCCTGCATGTTTACCGTTGAGCTATGTATTGCGTTTCATATCGGAAGATGCACGTAAAGAGAGCCCATTTTTATCCGCCAACAGTACGGGCGTTGAACTTAAGCGGAAGTTGGCGATCAAACATCACAGTTACAGTATGTCGTCGTCAAATCGCAGCAATACGCCCACTGGTGAGAAAGCGAATCAGTATGAATATGAAACTGTATTCGCACTGATCCGCTAGACAATTATTTATCAATCAAGTATTTTACTAATCAACTACGTTTTGTTTTCACAATTCGTGGTTTTTCACTTATCTGATAAAATTTCTAGGCAGTGAAATGGACGATGATGAAATGGTTGTCTCAGAGTCGGAGGACAGCAATGATTCTTGGACAACTGAGGAGTTCAGTTCCGAGTTCATAATGCGTTACGGGAGCAGGTGATTGCTCAAGAAATTTTTTTTAAGACAAATTTAAATATATATATTTGTGAAGGCATTCCGGAACCGGCAGCAATGGGACACCGGGCAATGAGAAGCCGTTTGCGTGTCCTGTGCCTGGTTGTAAAAAGCGTTACAAGAATGTCAATGGCATCAAATATCACTCGAAGAACGGCCACAAAAAGGACGGAAAGTAAGTGTGTACAAGAAACAGAAACGTGCAGAATAGACCTCTTAATCAGTACGCCTTGCAATTTTTATTTTCGAAAGCTTGGGAAAAAATGCTTTTTGGATGTTAACAATTCGTTTAAAAAGCGCCTGTATTGCAACGGGACTTAGCGGAAATTTTTTGGATTTTCCGTGTCTTATTTTTTGGATTTTTCGAGCCTTATTTTTTGGGTTCTTTTTCAATTCTTTTTCATATTGTCTAATTCGATTTTTGATCAAACCACTGTTAACAATTGTGACAGGTATATTCTGCACGTTACCGAAGATTTTGTAACCGGAAAATTGTATTACCAAAAAATGTTCCCAGTTGCATTTAAAATATTCAGCTATGAAGAATTGTGGAAATTCCGGCATTGCATATTTCACGGCCCAATACGTTACCAGCTTATGAGATGGTAACACAATTTACCGGTTAGAAGAGAACACAGAATGCGAAAAGGGTTTAAAAATTGCCAGGAACTTTATTAACCGGTTTACCAGCGCAGAATAGACCTGTTGGGGTCGTTTGTCCAATGTCTGGTTATTACTACCTCCCAGTTAAACATCATTATCGACGACTTCGACATCATGTATATAACATGTAGTCGATAAAGCAGTTTTTGTATTTAGATGGAGCTGCTACCTCCGATTTGTGTTAATCAGACATTGAACAACCAACCGCCCCTTAGTGGAGGTGAAAGGAATTGGTGCTTTTGCTACTGGTATAAAATACTAACTATTGAGATCGGTTTTGTCCCTGGATAAGCGTGTTCGACTGTATAGTATGCTTTTGTTGGTTCAATTCAATCAATAGATTGGCGCTTACACATATGTTAGTGTTTGGCCTAGCTTGTCCTCCGATTTGTGGCGTGCGCCTTGATTTTGTTACACAAAGCGGAGGGACGTACAGTTTTACGCCGACTCCGAACGGCGATTGTATTTTTATGAGAAGCTGTTTTTCATGGCAGAAATACACTCGGAGGTTTGCCATTGCCTGCCGAGGGACGACCGCTGTTAAGAAAAAACCTTTTTTCTATATTTTTTTGCGTTGTTGCTTTGGCCAGGGCTTGAACCCAGGTGTTGTGGAGTGGAAGCGCGCACTGCTTACCACTACACCACAGGTAACGACTCGAGTACCCAAATACCAGGAATTTCGAATTAAATGTTGGCCTGCAGCTGGAAAACAATCTATGGGACTATCAATAGTATCGATGTTTTAAAGTTTTCCCCACCATCGATGTTTTTCCTACCACTATCGATAGTTTTTTCTTTCATAAATTAAAAAAATTAATCTTGATTTTTTAGATTTTTTTTGTCGAATAACTTATTCTTCTATATAAAAATAAATTGTATTTATTCGTTATATGGAAGCAAATGAAAACTCTAAATCTTTCTAAGAAATGGAATCAAAAGCCCGAAATTTTTACGAAAGTTTGTTGCTTTTTTTGTTTTAAATATTGCACCAAGTTTGAAACTTCATACGGGTTTTGCTAAAGAATGAACTACGTATATTTTGGTTAAAAAATACTAAAATTAAATAACAAAGAAAATTTAAAACTTGTCATTATATGGTGCGATTATTATTTCTTCGACCACTATATTTTAAAACACCCAAAATTAAAATATGGAGGGTATGTTGTGCAATAAGATTCCCAAAAGTACATTTATTTATGTACGTTGCTGGGGAAACATGGATAGTGCATCCCATTTTGGCGACGTAGTTTCAGCTTCGTAGTCAACTTGCCACTCTAATGCTTTGAGAATTGCTATAATGGTACAGTTCGTCGCTGTTAAACCCAGAAATTATAAAATGAGTGTAAAGAACCTCTTACAATTAAAATGTAAATTCGGCCAGTAACTTCAAAATTGTAATTGCCATATCCTTAACCGCTGGCAACAGAGTTGAGATTTAGTTGTCATTATCAATCGACCCTTTAAATTGAACTTCTTCATCAATATTTCTAATTAATTTTTATTTTTGTAGAGTTCGCAAAGGCTACAAATGTCACTGCGGCAAGAGCTACAAAACTGCTCAAGGCCTGAAGAACCACGCTTTGGTGGCACACAACTCCTCGCCTGAGAGCGTTTTGAGCACACAACATACGGCTAATATGACTGCTAACAACAATGGGACCAACGTTAATGTGGGCTCAGGCATTATTTTGCAACGCAGCAGTTCGCCCTCGCAGTCATTGGGTTCCCTCAGTCCATCCAGCATCAGCAACATGTCAAGCAGTGCCAGTAGCTGTCATGGCAGTGCTACCAGCAACACTCATAACGGCAACAGTAACTCTGCTGGCAACAATAATGTTGGTAACAACAACACAACCGGCGCCGTCACCAACAATGTGTTGCAGCAGTTGGCTAATAATACACTTGGCAACGGAAGTCCCAATGTGGTTGCCACCACAAACGGGGTTGGACTTAGCTTGCATCATCACCAACACCATGCACAGCAGCAGCAGCAACATCAGTTTAGCAATCAGCAGCAGCAGCAGCAACCGCAACTACACAGCATTGGATCGTCCGCAGCAGCTACATCAGGTAACAATAACAATTTAGGGCGCAGCAGCAGCAGCAGCGGCAACACTACTGGCATCAGTGGCAATGGCCTGCTCACAGCACAAGCAGCAACTAAAACTGCGACTGCAGCTACAAACTTGTTGGCCGCTAATGCAACGGCGAGTAAAATACTCAAGTTGGCTACCAATGCCGCGGCACAGGCAGCAGCAGCTGCAGCCGCAGCCAATGCTGTTGGTACAGTTGATATCATTGCACAGCAGCAGCAACAACAACATAAGCTGCAAGCAATCGTTGATAAAGTACAGTCAAAACAGCAACAAAGTACAGCGACTAAAATTGCGCTGCCAAATTTGGTAAACTTAGGCATTCTCACCCCGGCCACTTCGCCTACGAAACCACCTACGCAGGCAATGGCATTTACGCAACAACAACAACAACATCCAACCCAACAACAAGCACAGCCACCACATAATCTTCCTTTGACACCCATTAGTCCAAGTGGGCCAACATTAATCCAACAACAACAGCAAAAAGGCATTGGGCTATTGCATCACCAACAACAGCAACAACAACACAAAAAACCGAATCAGATTATTGGTAGCATACACTTGACTAATGTATCTACATCGACGTCAACGTCCTCAACTGTATCGAATGCCAACATGAATAACAACAATAGCATCAGCAACACTGCCAATGGTATCAGTGGTAATGGTGTCGCTACTACGGCTGCAGCAACGGTGGGCAGCGGCGTTGTTGCTGGCGCTGGCGCTGCAGGCATGGCGAACGCTGTTGTTGCTGCTGCTTCTGCTGACGCAGTGGTAGGCGTTGTCAACGACGAAACGTAGCCTATACTAAAGACATTACTAATGCGTCGCGAATTTAAATAGAAGAAAAATATTTAGTTATTATATATTTAGATAACCAAAAAAAAAAACTAAATTTGCGCAAAGTTAAAGAACATCTGACCATTTATAATAAATCGGCTGAGAGATAGTATGCCCGCGACATACCTAAGCGTATGGCTGTTGCTTGTTATTATAGGAAATAAATAATTTCAAACTTACACCCTTTAAAGTAAATAGAAAAAAAAAAAATCGTCAGTTCCTTAAAGAATTATCGAAATACTTTTTGAAGCATTATGAGCATTTGGAAGTACCCAGAGAATTAAAAATAAGTACATATATTCATTCGACGCTATTGCTGAATCCATTGTAGATTTGTTTTTCGAAAAGTAGGCGAATATGTTATCACTGAATATGCATAGCTATATGTAGCTTTACTATGAAAGTATTTGCGTAGGATTTTATATAACTATTATCAGTCCCCTTCCGTTAAATCCTAGGGTGATCTCTTTTTTTTTGAGATATTCCAAAATTAAGTTTAGCGAAGTTATGGCTGACGGTGACCAAGGCTTTTTTACTACTCAACTCAAAACTCGCTTTGGTTATATAAAGGCTGCTATTACGGTACTCACGTCGGCAACGAAGTAACTCAATAAAAGTGTTCGCTATGCAAAAAACTTGTACAAGTTGGTACCAATTGTTACCAAATCCTGTTCGTTTGGCCATAAAGCTAGTAAAACTTGCAAGGAGAGAGCACAATTTTTATATTTCATTTGGAGGGGAAGTTGCAAATTCGTGCTGGGAAAATGTTTGCCGGCAAGAGTTTGCAAGCAGGATTGTGGCACACGCTTGCATTTCCAGCAAAAATAATTTGAATCAACAAGTTCGTGAAATTTAAAAATGTACAATCTTGCCGCGTTTACTAATGATTGAAGTACTATGTAAGTATTTGTTTATTCAATTAATATAATTAATTCCATTGATTTGAAAGTTACTCGGCAGTCGACACCACTGTCGATTTAGGAAATTCGACAGTGACTTCCATAAAGAAATTGAAGCGTATGTTGAAGATCAGAATAAGAAGAAACATGCGTATGTTTTCCACTTGAAATAATAAAAAAATATTATGTACGAAATGCAACCGTGGAGGCCAGCTGGCAGTGAAGCTTGCAAATATCTGCAAATTCTCTTCATGTGAGACCATCGAGTAAACTTTTGAAAATAGTAGACCATCTAACCTAACAAAACTACGTTCCCACGCCATCTTTGTTCGTAATCCCCTCTAATTCGTAATTGGAAAGCCTATTACTTAATTCGCCATACAATGAGAATCACGAAGAAATCACTAGCTTCAACCGAAATTTATCGAATTCCGCTGTCAAGGCAAAAGAGAGGAAATGAAGGAAAATTCTAACATGTTAATTCGCATTCATAATTGAAAGAGCAAACAACGTAATTGCCGGTGCTCGTGTGATTCATTTAAGTCGAAAATTCAGTTACTTCGTAGCTATTCAGTTATAACATTTTCGTGGAGTTCAATCGGGGCCTACAATGGAGTCAGCATAGACCCGACTGATTTGTGTATATTGTGAATGAAAAAATTGTACCCTACTTCAGTAGCGTAGATTTTTGGGAAATATATTTTAATTTATATTCCAAATATTGCGACTATTTCCTGAAAGATGATAGCCCTCATGAAATCGAAATTCAAAAAGTAAGCATTTAACGACCTATGTAGATCATACATACTATATAAATACATATGTACATACATACATAATTGAATACACTCCAATAACATGGTAAATATAAGTGTATTTAATTATGCGTAACTCTTCAAATCTGCACTCGAACAAAAATACCTAAAACGAAAAAATATGCTTTGAAATTAATTGAAAATTATACGATTACTCCTTCTATATACACTTGTATGTATGTATATTTACGAATATCTAGTGTTAGTGAAAACCTTCAAGTTTCCTTGTAAATGTAGACTGCTGCGGTTTATTTTAGAATTTAAAAATTTTTGTACATTTTAGTTGATTCGTGCAATACTACTTTTTATAAGTAATTTATTTAGCTAATTATTATTGTTTTATACTCATCTTTTGTGTATATTTTTTATACTGAATTTCCTAAACACTGTATTGTATTGCTTCGATAATTGCTGATCTCCTATTGAAATTTAAAATTTAGTTATATACAACAAACGCTATACTGTAGACATCAAAAATAAAGTTTATGCTTGATTTGTCATTTGAAAGTAAAAACATTGAATTTTAGTTAACTTCGCTAAACAATTGCATACATACATACACATACATATTTAGTAGAACAAACTTCGACCATGCAGAAGTAGATATTCCAGAAATTGATAGTAATAAAGATTGAAAGTATGTACATACATGAATTTGTGCTGATTTTTCCGCATGATTAACATTAACGAAAAATTGAAAAGGTTTAATTAAACCATATTTTGGCAGAGAAAAGTGCGAGTGCATTTTTAGGAGTCAATGATGGGTCTCCAACTCAAAGATACTAGATGATGTTTAAACTTGAAGTTGGAGTTTTGAAAATGAAGTTTATATCAACGTCAGAAGAGGCTCTAAACATTTTATGAATCTACACGTACATATTCATTTAAAAAAGTATTTTATTTACTATACACTCGTATTTAGTTTTTACCTCACTAGTTTGTATATTTTGTCTTTTTTAAGAGCTTTGTCGATGTGTGCACATGTTTTCAAGTAATAACTCTTTCATACTATTGGCAAAGCCTTTCCTGGCTAGATTTAATTCCGAGACGGTTAGATAATACCCATAAAATTTTATGTTTTGAGGTTCAGTTTAAAACTAATACGCTTCTAATATTATTTGCCAACTTTGATCTGAGGTGCGTTTTGCTTTCTTAACTTGATGAAAAGCTAGTTCTAAACACATTTTCCTATTTTTTTCTGCAAAATAATTTGAAACGCTATCAATTAATTTTTCTTCGAATTCTGAATTACAACAAAAGTTTTCAAACTAACTAAAACCATGATTCAGTAATAGAAAGGTTTTGTAATAAAACAGTCTTCTCGCTAACACACATAAAATCGGCTCCTTTACTTGTGCAGAATGTTGCTCACTCTATAGTTTCTAGTGATATTAGTAGTAAAACCAAAAATTCTTCATACTAAATATTCGTGAGCATCACCTTCGTTTGCGTAATTTTCTAGAACAAGTGTAGAATAGCGACCGTTTAGCTATAAAATAACCAAAAATACCGATTGATAGAACTTTTACGCTGATTTGAAGGATACCAAATTTATTCGGCGCAGGTAATAAATAAAGAAGATATAAGAGGTTTATTTGCTTTATTTATTTATATATTTTATTATCACTAAATTGTTGAAACCCAAAAGTAGATAGTGAAAAAATATGTAATATCGAATTAAAGGTAATAACTTGTACTTTCTAAATAATATTAATTTATTTACCATTAATTACGCAGTTTTTTCAAAAAAGGTTATTTCATGAAAAAATAACATTTGTTCGTTTTTTAGTGGTTTTGGTTTAAAAATACAAAAAGCTATAAATTATATGCATCAGCTGAAAGGCAAATCAATTATCTTGGTGGTGACGTCATTAATTTTTTAATCGGTTATATAGTTCATAAGATATTAATATTTAAAAAATTGAAGAACTGAAATTTAACCGTCTAGAACGTCTTCATTTTTCACTTGCGCCAAATAATTTTGGCATGGTTGAAATGAGCATAAAAAGTTCTATTGATCCGCATTTTTCGTTTTTGCATAGCTGAACGGTCGGTATTCTAGATTTCTTCCAGCAAATGACGAATAACTGAAATCAAAAATGCATATTTTTATGTATTGTTTAGTATTTCCATTATAACACCAAATATATTGTAAATTCGCATAGAATTAATAATACACCTTTACTTCTAATTGTATATTTTGCGTACTTTTTGTAGTACCTTTCTACTACCGTTTTCGCAAAAGGCGATCACATTCTTCCCCTTTCTCCTACTTCCAAAATAAAAATCTAGATAAAGGAGTGTAAAATTTTAGCTGTCACAAATTACACAACTTTGTATTAGTTCCGATCCCGTACGAGTCCGGACTAGTCAGAAATAGTCAGAATCAGTCAGATTTTACTGAAAATCGATCCCGTACTCGGTTCTCTGACTATTGAGAGCACAAAAAAGAGAGTAAATACGGTTCTCTCTCTGTCAGAAGTTACCAGTTTTAGTCCGAGAATTTTTTGCTGGTAAATGTGTCAAACGATCAGCTGTAGTGTGTTTGGCAACCAAATTGCGTTGATAACAAAATTAGCCAACACCAGCCAACAAGCGAAAATTCTCTCCCAAAGAGATGAAAAAACAAAAAAGTGAACGAACAGGAAATTAGCCATCACTTGCAAAAACCGGAAGAAGAAGACACACCAGCTGACTTTGTTTATGTTTTATTTGTAAACAAACTGAAATTCATGTTGCCTCCATAGAAGAAAAAATGAAAGTGAACGCTCAATGTTCGCCAGGAACATTTCTAGAAGTAAAAACTAGTTGGCGCTATCATAAAGTCACATAGCAGGCAGCCAAAAAGCATATAAATACCAAAACTCGGAAAATGCAATTTTGTTTGTTTACAAAAATTGCAACCATATGTTTTGTGATCATATGTTTTCGTGTTGGATAATTTTTGCTGACTAAAATTTTGCCAGTATAAAATGAACGCTTCTCTTGCATCAAAATGAACACTTGCTCTCTCAATTTTTGTGTGTTGGATAATTTTTTGTCGTTATCGAACGCCATCCAGTAAAAATTTGGAAAAACTATTACACATTTTTGACTTGTCGAACGCACCTTTGTTGAAAAGTATTTAATTACTTGTTTAAGTGGATTTTAATGAATTTGAAAGTATTTTTGGTTATTTACATGTGTGAGCTTAGTGTGTTTACATACAAAATAACCAAAAATTTACAACCAAAATTTGGAGGTTATGTTGTTGTTGACAGGAGTTACAATTTTTTACTAGAAAGCTATCCCGTACTTTCCAATGTTACTCTCTCGCTCGGAGGAATTTTTATTTTTTGACAGTTTTACTAGTCCGAGTCCGCGGAATACGGGATTGCACCTATTATTGAATCATGACTAAAACTATCAATACAAGCGATGATACAAAAAAAGAAGGTAGTTTCACTTTGAATTTTTCTGACATAAACCGTGCTTACTGACGTTTCTACTTTTCGTAAATTGTTGAAGTAGCACTGCCACTTAATCAAATAATTATTCTGGAAATTTTAATATTTGTTTAAGGAATTTTTATATACTTACATGATTGTTTGTATTAAAAGAGCTGCGTATTGATTTAAAGTGCTATAAATGTAAGGCACACCAGAAATGAAGCATTATCTTTTACATGATATATTATATGCAGTTGGTCCTTTAAGAAACTAAGTAGGATGTTGCTTTATTTCGGAGTTTAGGGAAGCATACTCACTCTACTCCTACTGGTATCGCGTTTCTCTCTAATTGGGCGCATCCGTTCCTCCGGTTGAAATCTTTCGCGGAAAAGTGCTCGGAACAAACAAACGATACCTTTGGTAACGCATTTTCAGTTACCATGCACACGGATATCCACTTTTCCCGCATATGTGGTGTCGCCGGGAGTCGAAAAAACTGTATGTTAGTTTTTTCGCAATTTCTTCTAAATAGGCAGCTCATCTTACTAAAAAACAGTAAACAAAAATTAACAACAGTAAATGTATATTTTATGTGAATACAATGTAATATTTCAATTACCTTCCGTTTTATACTCACTATCGCTAAAAGCTTTAATTTCTTTTAAATAATTATATTTTTTTTAAGTAGGTAATCAATCACTTTTTTACTTTTGTCAAAGAATATGGTAGCTCGATTTCAAAAGAAAATGCCAAAAGCACAAACTTCTTGTAGCTCTTGGTCTTTACCTGTTTCCATTTTGAATTTGAATTCCTTTAATCTCATATCAGACACACTTAAATGTTTCTCAATCACCATTACATAAGCTTCAATTTCTTTCTTCCTCAGTTGATTCTGTATTTTTTTAATAACTTCTACTTAAATGATCAGAAAGAATTAATTTTTTACCCGGTACATATACAAGATCAAAATCAAAATTATGCAAGCTAATTCGCATTTTTTGTAATCTGGAAGGAATCTTATTCATTGGTTTTTTAAAAATGGAGATCAGTGGCTTATGATCAGATTCTACACGAAATTTTTGACCAAATAAATATTGATTAAACTTATGGCACCCAAATACAATCGTATACAATGGTATAAACTTCGATACATAATATATGGTACCTAAAAATGTTAATAACTCTTTCTTATTCTTCGGTACTTGCATTTTTTCAATAGACTCCACTTTATCTTTATCAACCTCTATACCATCAGCCGAAAGAATGTGACCCAAATACTAAACTTTTGTTGCCATAACAACACTTTTGTCTATGTTAAATTTACTGCCATAATTTCTGGCTCTTTTAAACACTTTTTCCATGATTTTAATTAATTGCTCTTTAGTCTCTGCCCACATCAGCGTGTCATCAGCGTAGATTTGCATCTTCATTTTCAATATCTTCAAAAATCTGGTTAAATACCCTGTAGAAAACTTC